TTGAACTGCAAACTTCTGAACTAACTTGATGGCGAATGATCTGTCGCCATGGCAACGGCATTTGTCGACACCCCATACTACCCTTAGATGCGTTGATGGCTGCATCGTTACCAAACCTGTGAAGTTTTGGGGTGTTTGGAGCAGTTTCACTGAAGTTATGAGAAAACCGTGTTTCATGGCGAGCATTGTGTTGCCATGGCAACGGCATTTGAAGAAATCTCAAAACTGTCCCGTAGTTGTCTTCACGGCTGGATAGCTAGTACACATGTGAAGTTTGAGCACTTTTTGAACATTTTCATAGGAGTTACAGCGACATCATGTTTTATGGCGAGGGATGCGTTTCCATGGAAACGGCTTATGGTGAGATCTCAGATTTGGCGTAGAGCTGTTGAGGCATGGACCGATGATATACAAGTGAAGATTGGGGGATGATTGGACCGTGTCGATGGGACTTACAGCCACATCGTGTTTCATGGCGAGTGGTCCGTCGCCATGGCAACGGTATTTGATGACACCCCATACTACGCTTAGATGCGTTGATGGCTGCATCGTTACTAAACCTGTGAAGTTCTGGGCTGTGTGGAGAATTTTCACTGAAGTTATGAGAAAACCGTGTTTCAAGGCGAGCATTGTGTTGCCATGGCAACGGCATTTGAAGAAATCTCAAAACTGTCCCATAGATGTCTTCACGGCTCGACTGTTTGCACACTGCTATCTGAAGTCTGCTGCTCTGAGCATGTCAGTTGGAGTGATGACATCATCGTGTTCCATTGCACAGGTGTTTATAGTAACGAGGTTTCATTGTTCAGAATGAGAGATGAACCTCTTACATGTGAACGTTTTGTGGAAGAAAGATGACAGATATCTGTGAAATTTAAAAACGTGAAGCATGTCAAGGAAGTTGAGTATCTGAAGTGTAATTTTTGTGTACTTTCGGGTTAATAATGTGGCCTTTTTGGCAGTTTAACTAAAGGTGTGCGGCTGCTGCTGTGAGGAAATATCAGCCTGAAATTACAATGGGCTTTAATGGAGGAATGTTGAACGTTTTTGTCACTTCATGCCCTCAAGAGGCACTTTGTTTAATTATTTTTGCTTAATTATTTTTCATTTTTCAAGCCACGAGATGTTTTCCTACGTTTGTAATGATAAATTATGTCTCAGGAATGTAGGGTTTGGGAATTATGGCAGTTTTAGAAAAAATATATGAATGCGAATTTCAAGCTGTCCTCCACTCTAGCTGTGACATCACACACTCTAGTTAATGTTAAAATGTGAAGAAAACCTCTAAAACAAGGTCTGAACTATGTTTAATATCTCTAAAAGTAAGAATCAGATTTAAAAGTTGTTTTACAGGAATTATGTCAGAAAGATATTTAACATTTAAAAGTTGGAATGAGGTTTCTGAGTGAAAGTATGAATGAACAGTTAGCAGTTGAAGTCGCATGAAGATTTGTTGAAGTCTGACGATTTCCTCCATTGACTTCAATGTTAAAAATGTAGTGTATTATGGGATGTATCTCTGGAATTATGAAAGTTATGAATGAGAAAAGTAATAGCAATCGATTCCCGACCGAGCTGAACGTTTTGATGTTTGAACGGAGTTTCTGAGATGTTCAATGTGGGAGGAGAAGAGGGACAAAATAACCCGGCGGAATAATAATAAAATATTGTCCGTAGAAGAACAGTTAGTGGGAATGCTGTTAACAGCATTCCCACTAACTGAATGCATACATTCAAATACAATACAATTCAGGAGTAGCTTTGAATATCCTTTTTCTCCTTCTTGCTATAAATTGTGGTTGCTTGAGAAATCGCATTTAAATGCCAAACCTAAAGGAGTCTGTGTCTTTGCAGTTACACTAGTAAAGGTCTCCAGAACCAAATGCTGCCCGCCAGTTGTTGTGCAGAGGGCTGTGTGACGCTCCAGCGCTCCATCTTCAACAGGATGTTTGTGTTTCTAAAGCTGTTTCTCGTGCACTCCGTCTCCCCCCTCCCCCCCTCCCGGTGCCAATCCTCCGGATAGCCAAACGTCCTCGCGCTGTCCTCCAGACCTCGCTGGCCTTCTGGGATGACTTAGCCCGCTTACTCACTCAGTCACTCAAGGATCACTCTCTCTTACCTCGCTTTCAGTGTCACCCGCTCGTGACAGCGCACGATCTGCACTGTCACTCCGCTTCCGCCTTTTTGAATAGATCTCTTCCTCTCCATTTATCCTTTACCTGCTCCTTCACTTCCCATCTTTCTTTCAGTCCGTCTGCTCACTCACTCACTAAAAATACAATGCCAGTCTCTGCATCTGTTTTAGTTTTCTCCTGAGGGATTAACATGTGTTTTGGACCCTTACATGAATTCTTAAGGTGCCCTGCCTTTTTGTCCCTTCTGTATTTATATAACTAAATTGCTCTCTTTATCTGTCCCTATAGGTGATGCAGGTGCTCAACGCTGATGCCATGGTGGTGAAGCTCAACTCTGGAGAACTCAAGACCATCCACCTGTCCAGCATTCGGCCCCCCAGAATTGAGGGAGAGGTACAAAAACACTTGTCTGTCAGTCTGCCTGTTTCTATGTGTGTGAGTGGCTACTTTAGTGTAATGCATGTGTTCATGTGAAAGTGTGGGGTCAGCCACTTCATCAGAAGCTCACAGAGACCACTCAAGCCCCTGATGTCTTGACAGAGTTGATTTATTTTCATTTAAAGTTAAACACAAGCTGTTTACATGTCTCTTAATATCTATTCATCTCTTTCCATCTCATGCCATCTTCTCTTCCCTCACACATTAGTCTCGTCTCCCCCTAAATGACCGTGGGAATCATTTTGACCACTTGGTGGCGCCCCTCTGTTGGGCCACATGCAAACAGTGAGACAGAGACACTTGCACACACCCAGTGGTTGCAGCACTGCAGAGAGCGAGGCACATTGATTTTTTTTTCTTCTTCCTTTCCCCTCCACACTCCCATCCTTTTTCTCAGAAGCACTTCAAGACGGTGAAAACGTTCACATGCTTACATACACAGTGGAGATGTATATTAATCCACATCATTTTGCACTCACTTATGTAAAACTGCTTGTATGTAATAACATTTAGACACAGAAGTCTACTCCCCAGCTCTGATTATGTTCCCATTCTTCCAAAAACACCATGTATTCAATTTTGAAAAACATGTTTCTCGCTGATTGCTAAGAAGAAAACTTGTTAATTATTGTTAGAATTAGGCCTTACTGGTATTGAAAGGCCTTAAGTAATCATTGAACTGTCTTCATAATTCTAGGACGTGAAAGTAGCTTTATACAAATGATCTTCTTGTGACATTTCCTTCTGGGAACTCAATCATTTTGTCTATTTTGATAAAACAATGATTTACTAAATGCCCTCTATCATTAACGTCTTGCTGATCGTGATAGCGGGCTCATCAAATTGGTCTTAAATTGCTTTGGTGTGGCATTTAGAAAGTCTTAAATTTCCCTTGCCTTTAGCTGTAGGAACTTTGAAAAAGAGAAGTAATCAATTTTCATTTCTCAATTACCCTTGGTGTCTGAGTCCTCTCAAATGCTATAACTCTCTAAATAACAGACTCAAAATGTCTTAAAATGTCACTCCCATTAATTAGAAAGTTCAAAACAGTAGTGCTTGTTCTTTTTGTCAAAGAGCTCGAATAAAAGCCTCTTCTCTGTTTGTTTAACACGTCTGTCTGACACCATTCCTCTAGTCAAGTGTTTACTCTAATACCCTTTTAAGAGCAAGTCTTGCATTTCCTCGTTCAAAGAGGTTGTTGTTCTTCGGTGTAGGAAACAGCTGTAAAAGTCCAAATACGGAATGTCAACAGCACTTCTGTTTTGATTGCTTTTGTTTTTATTGACTCCCCTTCCTGCATGTCTCTTCAGTTTATGGTGCACTCTTTGCTATCTTTTTCCTCTTTACTGTTTTCTAGGTTTTTTATACTCTAACCTCTCCCTCCCTCTCTCCCCTGGTGTCGTTACGGCCTCGCATTATTAAGAGACTGCTTTGTATCTCTCCCTCCCTCCTTCCTGCCTCCCTCCTCCCTCCACAGTCACGTCCTCCTGCTGTCCCCCCCCCTCTGGGTGTGCAGTACAAGCCGTGGTCAGATGGTTGACCTGCACCGCTGCCCTTCCTGTGTGTTTTATCCTCCTTAGCTCTCTGCGGTTGTAACAAGCTTGTGGGCAAAAACATCTCCCTCCACTTTGTTTCCCTGCCCTTGTTCCTGTTCCTCGTATTTCATAGCTTTCCCCTTCCTACTCTTTTCTTAGATTCCCTTTTTTTGTTTTTCATACTACTTTTCTGTATTCCCACTCTCTCCCCTCGTATTATTCCATCTGTCTGTCTCTCAGTGCCCGTCTGCTTTCTGTCTGTCGCCCTGCACCAGATGCTTCAGCAGTATGTGTTTTGTGCTTCATTACACTGGTGTATGTTACAGGGAGCCCGGGAGAGGGAGCCCAGATGTGAATGTTTGTGTCTATCGGAATTGGTGTTATATTGGCTCAGTGTTGTATCGCTATTTCTTGCTCTTCATGCATATTTAATTGCTCTTGTTTGGATGTGTGTGGGATGTTCATGTAAATAACCTGAATATTTATCAAAATCTGTCTGGGTGCCAGTTCCCTTGGCTAGCACAGTTAAATGTGCCGGCATCTGGATATGTTATTATGAGCCCTGTAACCATAATGTAACATCCATCATGGACTTGGAAGATCATGTTCACATTGACTTTGTTATTGGTAACACTTTAATCTAGCTTTTTCACTGGTGCATTATTAACATAGTATCAAGCTAAAAGGGAAATGCAAATCTAATACTGCAGTGAAATCATGTCATCAAAACTACTCGTGCTTTTCTCATTTAATTAGGACATGTTAAACAATCAAGTCATACCCAGTGCTTTCTTTAAGGCAAGAGAGACCTTTTTGAGACTGCAAGAGGACATTCTTTTTCTTTTTCACTCTTTTTACTGAAATATGTTGCGGCATTTCATGTTTTGATAAGAGTTGTTTACAGTGCAGCTGCTGGTGCTGTTTGTTAGCTAGTTATTCCCGTCCGTAAAAGGCTGCCTGCTTGCCTGGATGTCTGTAATGCTGTTGGCCCAGCTTTGAGTGTTGTCGCTATGGCAGCAATGCAGAGTTGTGATGGGTTTACTGCAGCTTTGATGAGCCCATGTAGTGTAAGGTAGAATAAAGGAAGCCAGCAGAGAAGCACTGAAATGTCTCTGATATATATAACTTCAGGGCTAAACCCCTCCATGTGAATCAGCAGGTTGCACAAACACATATTTCGCTCTGTAGTCTGGTTGCCAGCGCGGTGAACCTGGAAATGTTGACCCCAATACCCCAGTACTCCAAAGTTTTACCATATAAATGTATAGTACGTGTCCCCAGCACATAGAAACTGACAGATGCTAACTTGCATGTGTTGGACAATTGCACAATTTGCATAAATTGCGTTAACATTAATTAGCATTATAGCCTTTTGTAGACAATAATTAAAACATGGCTTGGCGGATTTAGACAATTTTGGGTTGGTTTTGGGGGTAATTGAAGATGCAGAATCCATTTCGGACAATTCTAGGATCTAAAATGTCAGTTTGAAGTTCAGCAATTGGCAATATTTGTGCTCCCGGTAGACTGATTTTGATGAATTTGGGATTGATTTTCCAAACTGCCATTGTTGATAGGGATCCCAATAGGACGCCAGGAGCTGGCGACAGGCTATTAGTCTTGAGGAGTTGTTGCTTTAACCACAGACAAAAAGCTTAAACTTTACTCATATTTACTGCTAGGTCCTTCCAAATGTCATACTCATCATCACACACACATACTCTTACTCTACCTTACACCTGCTTATGTTACACACACAACTACACACTAATAAAGTCATTAAACTTAATCGCTACTTGTACAACCCATTTCAAAAACATCTTAAAAAACAGCCCACGTTTAAAAATGAATCCCTGATTGCTTGGTCCGGACGAAGGGTCAATTTAGTCATTGTTTTATGGTCATGCATGGAATTTAATGTCCAGTTTCATTTGCCAGCTGGACTTGTGTCCGATCACTAAATTAAGCAAGTGAGCTGTTACCTTAGGCGAGCAGGGAAACCTCATTTCATGCCCTGTCTACGCTCCATTACATATGAAGATATAGTAGTTCACATTATATTATTGGAAGCCTTTCTAATCTTTGCAACTCTTAATACTTACTGTCGTTACTGTCGGTTGAACTATTTTTAAAGGCAATGAAATGTATCGTTTAGCACCTCCAAAGTATTTGTAAAGAAGAAACACTTGCCAACCATGGCTAACAGCTGTGGGGTTATGCTGTCTCCAACAAAGAGAAACACATGGGAGAGGCACAAACTGATTTTTGAGAGGTTGTAAGCTGCGGGATGTTTCCTACCTCAGAGGTCACAGCAGGTATCTCTCAGCCACACGCTCTACACACTCTGACATCATGTTGGCTAACACTGTCACGAGCGCACTTGCTTCTTGCTTACAATGCAGCAGACAGACACAAAGACAGCGTCACGGTTTGCAGCACAGCTCACACATGCACACACACATAGGGAAATGCTTGGTTAAGCTGCGTTAGCCAATGTCAGGAAGCATCTTGGAAATTGGCATCAGCATGTGCACAAACATGGGTTTCACACACATGTGATGCATGCGTATACAGAGACACTCCAGATGTGCGCAGGCTAGCTCTGTAGCCCGTGTATGAAACAAGGCATTCTCCAGAGAGAACAAAAACTCAGAAATGTGGTATTGTGACAACTGTGTGTGTGTTGCATTCTCTAGAGGTCTTTAGGGATTCTCTTGTGCCAGTTGTTATTATTATCACTGTCTCGCTGCATGCGTCTGCACTGGGTGACCCTGCATTCTGCAAGCAAGGCCATTTGTCTGCACGTGTGTGTGTGTGTCTGAGTGTGTACTGTTTGGGGGGAAGTGAGGCTATGTGGAAAAACTGTGACCGTTCCTGCCATCCTCTCTCCTTCCGCCATCTCCTCTGCTTCCTTTAGTCCCCTAACACCAAACACACCCCACCCCCTCTCTCGTGACCATACTAATTGTAGTCAGACTGGCAGATTGGCGGACCAATGGCGTGTGCCTACAGTAAAACGTAGAACTTCCTCTCTTCTCATTTTGTTCCCCAGTGTTACTGCTGTGGCACCTCTTCAGATGTGAGTTATTTTGAGCTTGGGAGTTGGAGTCAGCTTTTTCTTCTACTCATCCTGTTCCCTCTTTTTCTTCAACCCCTTTTATTTGTTTTGCTCTCATGGGCAGCACGAGAAACCCAGCGTAAACACGAGTAGAGATGTCAATGCCACTCAGTGACTCACTGTAACACCCACACACTCACGATAAACGTGTTTGGATCCATTTGTGTGAGTTGCTCTAGCCTTGTCTCGAGTGTTTGTGTGTGTGTTTCTTGCATCGTAATGCATCTGTGTGCTTGTGTGGTTTAAGTAGGGTTAAGGACAGTGCTGATGGAGCACATGGAGAGGTCAACTCACTGTCCTTATATAAGGCAACAACATGACTGGCTCATCCCCAAGCTACTGCCCTGCCTACTCCTGGTGTGTGTGTGTGTGTGTGTGTGTGTGTGTGTGTGTGTGTGTGTGTGTGTGTGTGTGTGTGTGTGTGTGTGTGTGTGTGTGTGTGTGTGTGTGTGTTTGTGTGTGTGTGTGTGTGTGTGTGTGTGTGTGTGTGTGTGTGTGTGTGTGTGTGTGTGTGTGTGTGTGTGTGTGTGTCCCCTCTTGTCTACTGCTACTAGCTACCTTAACCCACCTGTATATCTCCCTGCGTCTTTCCCCCTCAGCTTTTCTTCTGTCTGTCTTATTTTTTACTTTCACATTTATTAGACTTATTTTTATCCTGGAACACTGCACACTTATTAGCATTTTTGTAAATACTGCACAGGTTGGAAAAGTCTGACAAAGTATGTAGGCAGAATTTGACAATTCTCACATCTTCATAACTATGAAGTACTTCAGAGTGTGTAGATGTGTCTGGAAGGCATGTCACAAAACAAATGACTACATATTGTCAACATGAATATATATGGTTGCACAGCTGCATTTTTGAGCAGTTGCTATGCAGTAGTATGTTTTGGTTACTTGTGTCTTTACATGACAATGAATTCAATTCCAAATCTGCAATTGCATTCGAGACATCAAGGTCTTAAACAAAGGCGGTAGAATATGGAAATAAAAAACTTGTTGTAATGCTGTTACTGTAGCACAGGAGGCTAGGAGTAAAGCAAAAAAGCCGAATGCTGTGAAATAAATAATTGACTCCATGCCCAACAAAAAGAACAATAACATCTGGGAACTAAGTGCAAGTCGGACCGGTAGGAAGATAACTAGGCAACAAAACAACATGTGGAAATACATTTACTTTTACCAAGGCTTTGGAGAATAATGGAATTTTGGTTCAATCTCAAGATCATTTTTGTGTCGAATCCCATTAACACTTCAGAACAGAATCAGCATGCAAATGTCACCGTAGTAATAAGCTCTTTGAAATGGAATACTTGATCAAAATGTGATAAATGATGGGGTACAGTTTGACAAAAGCCAGTCTTTAAACAGACGGTCCCATCTGCTCGCTACTCTGAAATTGTGACTTGTGGCTTCTCGATTCATCCCCTCGCTTTGTTTTTTTCCCCCTCCTTCCCTCCACACTTATGTCCCCATCCTTCTAATCCCACGTCTGACCGTGTGTGCTCTCAGCGTGCCCCTATCCTGGCATAGCATGCTTTGACCTCAAGTGTGGGAGGAGAACAACACGAGAGGAGGGTCTCTCCCTTTGTGATTCACTCGTGCCTGATTGGCTGTGGCGAGGCAGATTGGTACCCAGTATCTCTCCTCACTACTGGGTGGATCATTCTTGCCTAACTGCAGGGCTGACACTGCTGGAAAAACAAGGACTTGCTTGTGGGAGGAAGCTATATAAGGGATAAAAGATCATATTAAGGTTGCATTTGAGAGGCTTTATCACAAGCACAAAGGTAAAAACACCATATGAAATTAATTTGAACTGGTTAGTCTGTTATGCAGTGTAAGCTGAGCAAATTCCATCTGTGATATCAATAGTTACATCTATTCAGAGGTTTTTTAGCAGACAGCATTGCAGATACTCCAATACGGCATCACTGTCTGTCTGCAGGCCCCGTCTGACCGTCTGTCTGGGTCCAAAATTAGGAAGGCAACATATTGAATCGCAGCTTTACTCACTGCCTAACCCCCCTTTTCATTTCCAAGCCATTATTATTCATGAGTGCACAATCAGTATATGGCCTGTCCCAGTAAATGTACCTGCACCAGCCTGGAAGCAGCTAATGATGAATTGAGTGTCTGTTTGTCATTATGGTGCTACAGGTAATTTCATTATGAAATCCCAGGTTCCCTCTATAGTCTACTGTGGGATCAGTTCCAGTCGTTTCAGTAATGACTTATTTGTAATGCTGTGAATGTAAGGTTATTCGATTAGATAAATTAGATTTTGTATTGTAGTACCATAACCAGCTCTTCCTTCATGCTCTTGCTCCTGGTAGTGTATGCCTTCTGTCTCTCTTTCTGACTTTCTCTCCCTCTCTCAGCCTCAGCCCTCTGCATCCATTCAATGTTTATGCATGCACGATTGAGTTATGTTGTTAGGCGTACAGTAGTAAATGTAAAACTGTTTGTCTGAGGCTTCTAGTGCACTGCTTAATCAAAACATAATGTCCACTCTGTCTGACACACACACACACACACACACACACACACACACACACACACACACACACACACACACACACACACACACACACACACACACACACACACACACACACACACACACACTGCAGTGTCTCAAAAATATACGTAGGTTACAGACAAAAGAACACACAGTTAAATGCAGATGTAAATCCAAGTTCCAATACTGTACACTCTCCCAACTCTACCGCTGCACATCAGGAGGCATGACATGCTCCTGAGTCATGATTTTACCCTTAAAGTTCCAGGAGCTGCAAAGGCTTCCAGCAGCAGCAGCAGCATCCACACATTCACAGCCCCGGCCCCTGCAGCCCTGCGACACTGTACAATCCAGCTAGCGTCATGCCTATGCAATAGTCAAAGATGATTCCTGAGCTTTAGCTGGTAATTTGGAACGAAGGGGAATTTACCCCAAATAGAACAGAACTCCCCCCGAGGGTAGAGAGAGCAAACTGTTGTTATTGGGTCACGGTTGAGACATGGCAGCAACTCTCTCCTCTCTCTGTAACCTTCCTGCAACTGCAAAAAAATAGTTTTAAGGACAGTGTGCACACACTTTGTCTGAGTTATTTAATAATGGTAATGTCTGGTTATATCAGTCTTGAGTGAGGTTGAAATTGACTCATATACCTGTCAATTTAGAACCTCTTTGTGTACTTTTTGTTGTGCAGTGCATTCATTCATAACTGTAGGGAAAGTGACCCTATTGGAGCTTCAACAAAAAGCACACAAGGCCCATTGTGAAATATCGGGCAATCAATTGGCATCATTGATTCCCATGTCTGCCTATGTTTAGTTGTAATATTTCCTCTCGTGGTCTCCTTTTCTTGTTGTCTGACTCTTTCACCTTGTTGTCACTCGCTCCATTTCCCCAAGACCTATTCAATGATGGAGAAATACCTATTGTCCTGCTTGTCTGCTTCTCCGCTCCTTGTGCCTAATTGGCATAGAGTATTGACATTTACACTCTTCCCCCTCAGTGACATGGCTGCCTTTCCAGCGTGAAACAGCTTATTAGTTAAAATGATTTTTCCCTCTCCTCTTTGGCTCATTCTTTACTCTCCATCCGTTCAGGTTATCCCGTTGTTCTGACAAGTAATGGCCTTTAAAATGGAGTACTACCATGATTATTCTATGACTTTGTTTGTAAAAGCCCCTCAGGATGCAAACGCACCATCATCCCGTGTGTCTGGGAACTGTACTAATGAATGCCATTAAGATTATATGGTCCAAAGGAAGGGTTTCATCCGGGCAGTGCCAGGTTGGTGAAAGTTATCCTCATCCCCAGCAGTGGACGGTTAAGTCCGCAGCTCAGGCACAACATGCAGGAATCCTGGCCGCCAGTGCTCCTAAAAAGGCCCCATCATCCCACCGCAACTGACTTTGTAGGGATGAAAGACCCTGACAATAAGCCCCGACTGACACAAAATGGAGGACATCGGCTCTTGGCTGAGCGGTGGGGGATTTCCGCTGGCCATGTGTGAGATTAACTCACCTCCGAGGCTCCGTGCTGTGCTGACTCCGCTCGTGAAAGTGCAGAATGATGGCAGGGAAGGAGAAAGAAAAGAAAGATGGAAAGCTATTAAACGCAAAGGTTATTACATTCCTGCCAAGGTTAAAGGAACTGGCTGGTGAGTTTGGCAGCTTGCAGAGCTACTTTACCATGGCCAAATCCAGCATGCATGTTAAGACTTACTCAAAATATTAACGCTCATTTAGAAGGAAAAATCGTCATGGGACAATTGGGAATTTACGTTTGACACCGACAGAGCTTGTTGCCACCAGATTTATCTTAAACACCTTAATGCTCGAACATACAAACAAATGCTCTCACACACTGCGCTCCCCATGTGTTCCCCCCACATCCATCAGCCCAGCTGTGTGCCACACCTGGCGGCTCTGAACAACTGGAGAGGCATTAAAAATGAATGGAAACTATTGAAGAGAAGAGGAATTAATCCCACCGTGTGTGTTCTCTTGGAAGAGTGTTACTCGTGTTTGTGTGGCAGATAATGATGGCGGTAATGGAGGAGTGTGGGAGGGGCAGGGCTGGCGAGCACACTGGTATTGTCATTCATAGCCTCGTTCGTCCTGTTGGCGCCTGTCGTTTATTTCCCCACTGCGTCATTGTCGTTTGCTGTATTATTATATTGTATCCCGCCCCTACAAAAACGGCACCTGTCACCGCGTGTGTGTTTGCGTGTGTGTCTTTAAACTGGGAGCAACGCAAAACCTCAGCCTCCTTTTTGAAAATGCAAATGGGATCTATTTGTGGCCCGCTCCTGTCAGAGAGTGGGTGAGCGTATTGAGGGAAGTTTTTGTCTGCAGCTGTGCCAGTGTGCGCGTGGCTACATCTGTGTATGCACGGTGTGTGTGTGTGCACATGGTGTTAGCTCGCCTTTGTGCATCACTTTAACACAAAGTGTCTTTGGCTCGGATGTTTGAATCTGTGTCCTTGGTAACAGTGTACTTTGATTCATTTTATTTGTCTGCTCTGCGGCCAGTCAGTATTGACAGCAAGAGTGGTTGAGGGAAATGTCCACATCCTCGCTGTCATAGGGCTGTGTGTGGATCTGTGTGTTTACGTCTGTATGTGTGAGGCGAGGGTTGTATTTGTGTTTTTTATGCATGCTTCCAACACTTCTGAAACTGCAGCCAAAATGTTAAGCCACGCATCTTTATGAATAATCTTTATTTTCTCTCTCTTTTTCTACTTCCACTCCCCTATTTGTCCTCTATCCTCCCCCCTCAGGAGAAGAACAAGGACAAAGACAAACGTTTCCGTCCGCTCTACGACATCCCCTACATGTTCGAGGCCCGGGAGTTCCTGAGGAAGAAGATCATTGGTAAAAAGGTAAGAACCACTGACTTGAAATTGAAAACTCCCGAACACTTGTTGGCACCTCGTGTGTTTGCAACTTGATTTGCCTCTAATTAGCTTACATTGAATAAACCAAAAGAGGTATTCTCCCAGTGGCTCTACATGCGCTCCGACACCCTTTCCCCCCCGCACCAGTAGCCTCACCCACACGTTTCTGATGCCCTTAGCTAGATATCTATTTCTCTCCCTCTCTGTTTGAATACCAAGTACCCTGGGTAGGTACCCTGGGCCTCGGCATTGGCCCGGGTTCACCCTTTAAACAAGCAGTGTTGATTTCCCACTCTTGTGTCTATTGATCTAGTGAGTATGTACACCTAGAGGGCCGCTATGATTTACACACATCTGACCTAACAGAACCCAGCACTGAACTAGAGAGCACTCGGGACAAAGACCACCGCCTGAACATCTTCCTTTTTTGTGTAAAATTCCAATAAGTGAACTGTGTGTTTAGATTGTTTGTCTGAGAGAGCTTAAGAATCTAAATGAGACGTATTGCTTAAATGGTTTAGGTACTAAGGTACTGATTTATTACCAACTCTGTCAGTCGCCAACTTCCCCTTAATCAGAAGACCTCTATTGGTCCAACAGAGGGGACATTTACATGGTTGCCGCGAAAGTGAAGAGGCAACATATGAATTAAGAGGCATGCATCAAATATTAGAGATAGAAATGATAATTTACAAAGTACCTTCCATGTGGACAACAATAAGAACAGTTACAGTATTTACAAAATAATGAGTGTAGAATGTAGTGTGATAGCAGCCAGGTAACAGAAGTGAAAGTAAAAGTATATATTACACAGTTATTTTATTTTGTTACAGTAGCTGATAAGTCCCACTAAGAAATAGCAGCCAGTGAAATAATGATCATAAAGTGGTGTGTATTCTTGTATTAATATCACACTATAAGCACAATATGTCATGTATTGTATCTTTTAAGTGTGGCTGTCTTTTCACAGGTCCACTACAGTGGACATACTGTCAAATCAAAAATAACAATACATCTTCAAAAGTTGCAAGGCTTCCTTTTACTCATACACCATATGTGTGGTGGTCTATCAGGAGGCCATGGTGGTTGTAAAGTCTGACTCTAGCAGGAATATATTATATCATTTAATATTTCAAAATAAAGTTTACCAGTGCAAACTGTTTATTTGTTTACGCTTGCGTCCTTAGTAAATCAAAAAGTAATTCCTACATTGTCGTCATTGAACGTACAGCGGCAGTAATGGCACAGGGAGAGCAGGCGGCATGCCTCCAGCTGTTGTCCACTGGCTGAGTTGAATGATAGATTATGTTTTGCAAATAACAAACTCAACACTTGTCAGACTCAGAGGAAACCTATTATAATGGGGACAATTCCGGAAACGATTGGAATCTTTCTTGCATAAACATGGAAATGGTTAGTAAGCAGATTGATGGGAAACTTTCTCATATACTTACTTATTTATCTCATACATTCAATACTGTTTTGCAGCAAGTATTATATCTCAGGTTTGCACCTTAAATCTCCACAAATCGATTGTTTCTGTTGAGCTGAGAATATACAACACATGTTAGGGCTCCAAAGACATTAGATCATGGAACAAATCTTCCCATTTACACACTCTAGCAATGGTACAAAGTATAAAAGAAAAGCAAAAAAAACATTTGCAGCGTGATAAACACAAAACATGCACCCACTCAGAGCCAAAAGCCAAGAGAGTTCCTTTTGGCATTGAGCACAGGAGTGAGATTCATGTCCCTGTCCCAGCCTCTCATCACACTCATTTTAATCATCCTCATTAATGCTTTTTTAATGACAGAAAATTCAGCCGTGAGCCGGCTTTTGACAAGTGAAGCGGGAATAATGATTGGGCTGTTTATTTGTGGTGTTTGTGTTGGAGGGATAATGAGTGTGTGTGCGTGTGATAGGGATATCGAATATGGCTTTTTAAAGGTGTAGAAATGCTCTCCAAAATGTTCCATTAGCATGATGATAAAACATGTTTAGCTCAGGAACACCCAGCCTTTTATCAAGCCGTATAATTAGTGTAAAGTACCATTTTGGGCTTGTTTCTAGGAGTGTATCCCTGCACTAAAAGAGAGCGGCTTGTGTGTGGTGGGTGTGCATGCATGTAGATGGAGTATTATTAAACAGAATATATGGGCGTTTAGAGCCAGAAACATGCATGTGTAGACAAACCCACTCCTGTTACCATGGCCATAAGCTGTGTACTCATGCAACCACCAATAGCATGCGTAATGGATGTTTTATCTTTTATAACACTGCTCTATACACAGACAAACTATCTAGACATCGCTCAGATCAATCTTTGCTGCTTTTATACCTAGTTTAATTTCACAGTATTGCTTGTTTAGACTCTAGCTTGGCTCAAATGTCCATTTCTATTTCTCAGACGAATTGTTGTTTCAGGTGTTTATCGGAGAGGGAAGTATGCATGATTGTCTAAGTGTCAACAGGAGTTAACGTCATAAGCATGGTAAAAGTATGCATGTATTTTCCCAGAGTGCGTCAGTGGCCCTGGTTACGGTCTGCGTTTAAATTCATCCTGGATGATGCAGGTAGGAGTGCACTCCATGACATGTCGAGAGATGGGATGAGTGAGGCCAGGGTTGCAGGTAGTGGTCCTCAGGGATCACTCTGTCCATATGCAGAGTGCTTTGAGTGCATATGGAACCTAATCAGTGTTGTAATGTGTGAAAACAAACAAACCTCTAAACAAACGGCCCATAAATTACAATCTTCTGTTATGCCTTTATCCATACTCTACTTGGCATTTCTCTGAAGTCCCTTCTCAGTCATTAGGCTACAGTATGTATACTGTATATGTGCATTTGATAACTATTACAATTTGGTCTCCCAAGGGTGTGCTTATAGGCTCTTTGCCAGCGGTATAGCATCTCTGGAATGTTACTTTTATTGTTGCTAAGACACAAGGCCAAAGCTTCAAATGAAGCCCTTTGTAGCAGTTAATCAGATTTTTATTCAATTTCTTTTTATATCAGAGCCCTTCAAAACAGCAGATTCGTGAAGGTAGTGGCAACCTTAGCTGCTTTTCCAACAAGCAAGAACTATTTTAAGAAATAATCACAGGCTCTCTATGGGTGGATGTTGTTTCGCGAGAACACTACTCAACCCCTCCGCGTTTCAATGCTAATCTACGCAACCTCGGCATACTTGTGTTGTCAAGTTGGATGCAGGTAGGTGCACAAGTGTACAGATGCCTGTTGCACTACCACTAGGAGAGGAGTTTAGTCGACCCACTTACTGTCATCCTGTCTCTGAACACTAAGCTCTGCAGAGACAGATTTGGAGCAGTAAGCATTAGAAGGAGTCTCTAAGACCACTGCTCTCCCTGAAACTCCTGAGAGCTCCTCTGTTATCTTTCTTTCTTTTTCTTCTCCGACACAAAACGAGAGATCTTACCTTAACATGGGGGTAATTGGGCCTGACCCGGTGGTTTTAGAAGGGTATGTCGGGTCTGGGTCGTGCATGATTTTTTTTTTTTGTTGTTGAAGATTTTCATACACAGGTGTAACTGCAGATCATAAAGGTGCATCTTTGCTCAAACTGAAGGTGACCAAAGCTTACTGTCCCATCCAGTCCCAAGGTTAAGGTAACTGTTTGACCTACAGGTATTCCCCTACACAATATATTCCATTTCAAAGCTCAGAGACTGCCTAACAGAGCAATACAATGCATGCATTGGAAACAAGCAGATTTCCCCTGACTAAAGCTTCCAGGACGTGACTAAGCATTAACTACGAGTCTCAGTGTGCTGAGCAAAAGCTCAAAGCCCTAATACCACCGCACCGCTTTAGGGGAATAAAGCTACATGCCTTTCTTTTTCTATTAAACCTTTATCTCTATAAGGAGAGTATGGTGCTTTTGATCTTTTAGAAAGCATATCTAATATCCATTTTCAAAAGTCTGCCTTTCTGTATTCGATAGCTCTCTATAGCAGAAAGGAATTGGTGCAATACGTGGTCTAGTCTTAAAAAGAGGATTTTACAGGTATACTCCTACAACCATACATCATGTAGAGCTCTTTTGAATTCAATGTATACTTTTCTTGCAAGCTAAAAGCTACCATAGCTTTTCACTAACTTATCTTGCACTTTTCTGTTGTTTTTTTTTTAAAATCAGTTTGATTGTTTTCGGTCTCTATGTATATTATATTGCATAGTTGCAGGAGCCTCGGACTTAAGATGTTCATTGCCATATCTACACTGTAGCTACTGGTCACATGTCAATAAAGCCTTTGAATCTTTCATTTGATTCTTAGACAAAGTCAAATTGAGAGGACATGTGTAGCCATCATTGAATAAATCATTTTATATTAGTGAAGGCTTCTTCCGAACTACCCTGTTAAGGAGACTACATCTGCACTGAGGCGTTTCTCTTTTTCCCTTTTTCTCACTGTCACTCTACGTCCGTCTGTTTCCCTCTCTCTCTCTCATATATATATCCCACCCCTATTGAAACGGCAGCGTTTGCATGGTGACATAATCCCAAAAAGCTCGATTTGGCTAACTTTATAAGTAGCGCTTCTTGTGCGCCCGGGTCTCATCCTCAGCAGAAAAAAAGTCCACTGCAAATGTTGCATTAAGCCACTTATCAGGGTTGAGCACATTCGGATAATCCTGCGTGCTCAAAGTGGCCCCTGTTATGCAGCTGCTTGTGTAGTACTGTCAGCGCCAGAGTTCCCCCTCTTATTGGTGGGAATGCGGTGTGTGCAATAAGGCATTTGATCTGGTGTGTATTTGAGACTTCATTCGGGGGAAAGCTTCAGGTGCAAGCAGATGCAAAGTATACCTAAGCATCGCCAGGTCCAATAGTTTAAATCCAGATGGGGCTCCCTCTCCTCTCTCCTTCCCTCGTTTTATCCTTACCTTGTGCTCTCCCACTCTTTTTTTTTTCCCTTCCTGTAAAGCTAACTTCATTGAATTGTCGCAGCATGCTAAAAATACAACAGCAACTAAAGCCCCTCATGTCCTAAGATTTTTGTATTCAAACTCACTCTGATTGGCTGATGTCCCCTAGGCAACACCTGCATGTCTAATATTTTCAAAGGTAAGGTACAGATTCTGCTCTTTGATAACAAATTGCTCGGCACCAATATATTCCTTTTTAATTTTTTTATTGGCAGATCACTTTAAAACATTGCAAAAAATAAACCGCCTGTTGGTGAGAAAGACAAAAGGGAGCAGGTGAAGGGTGCTTATTTTAGTTTGAAGAAACCTCCTACTCTTTCACCGTATTCTGTCCTGAAAGCTACTCTAGCTGATCATACTGAGCTTTGATTACTGATGTTCACGGTACAGCACAGACAGGCATACTTCTAAATCATATCATAGTTCAGCACAAGGTCTCTGGAAAGGTCTTGGCAATTAGGACCAAATTGTTGAAACTCATTTTTAGCAAGCATTGCTTTAGTAAAAACATCTGTTTATTATTAGCTGTAACCTTTGCATGCATACACCTTGATACATCATTTCACCATGTAGACAATGCTGTAATGTGTGTGGTATATTTACCTAAGTATTTTACTTAAGTATGGTTTTGGGGTACTTGAACTTCACTTGAGTAGTTTTATTTTATGTTACCTCATACTTCTACTCCTCTAACATTAGGAAGCCACTAACAGCAACTTCATTTTTTTTGGAAAAAGTAGTTAATAATAATAATAATAATAATAATGACTTTAAAGATTCAGTTTATTGGTTAAACAAAATATGAAAAAACTTTGACATATAACTATAGGTTGAGATATTTCCAGCAGCAGTCCAACATCCACGTTTAGCAGCTGTGATGAACCAAATAATGCATCAAAACAATGTATCCAGTCATTTAACATATGTGATTTTAAAATGGGACATTACGCAAAATAAGTACTCGTACTTTTGACTTTGAATTGTAACAGAGTGTTTTTACACTGCAGTATTTCTAATTTTACTTAAAAAACGTCCACATAAAACTGTTATTACCCGTTCAAGCATTTTACAAACATGTCTCCCTGTGCTGTTGTTGCCTCAGCGTAACAAAAAACATTCTGTCTCACACTTGTCCTGCTGTCCTTATCACTCCCCCCACTTTCTAATCCAACCACTGCCCCCCCCCCCCCNCTGCCTCACGCTCCTCTGGGGGGGTTCTTTATAGATAGCTTCGCCTTATCAGGGGATCGGTGGAGAATGGGTCTGGAACGCCTCTAGTCTAACATCGCTTGGTCAAAGTTTATAATCTGTCATCACCCCACTTAATGGGGAACTACTGGTTTCAGAGCTTCCTGTATTATTTTCAGCTTGTGGGCTTCAATCTCATCCTGAAATCTGCTTTTTTTTTTTCTGCAAAGGCCTTTTCATTTTTTCACATTTAATTTCATCTAATGTTGTCCTCTCGAAGCCAACTTGCATTCTTCCTGTTTTTCATTGCTTTGTTTGTACCACTTTTCAATTACCCACGCCTGGCAATGCTCAGCCATTAAACTGAAATGTAACCAAGAAGAGCCCGAATGGGTTTTTTCTCTCTTCATTTGAACGGCTTCACTTTTCAATAAAGCTGAACAGACATGAAACTATGTCACTATAGGGTTACGAGGAAATGAGCAGCTTTGATGTGGGAGTAAGGATAAAATAATTTCCTTCAAGACAATGAGGATGGGTTATTTGCATGGTTACAAAATTAATGACTTTGGCAACGAGGATATTGCATAATATTCTACGGCTGACGAGATCACAAACCAATTCTGTTACTGATTGTACGACAGCATTTGAGGGCTATTAATTTACATTACACTGCGAGGGGATATTTATTTTGTAAGCTAATACCATTAGGATTATAATGCTGTCTCATAAACGTTGAATAAAATGTGTTGGGTTGCATATGCTACTGCTAAATGACTACTTTAAGTATGATTTAGCTAGATATATCCTTTCCTCCGTGAGAACATCAAAAAACGTTCTCAATCTTACACCTTTTCATTTTTGGGCTATAGAAGTTTCCGATACTCTTGTGTATGTATGGGCGCAGTCCTCCATCATCCATATCCTGGTTTCTTTTTTTCTTTTCTGTCTGCTCTTGAAAAGCAGACGCCACTTCCAGCTGAACGCCACACTACGGCACATCTATTCTGCGTTGACAGGAGCTCTTCTCTCCCCTTGCTCCCGTCACCATGTTCCCATCCCGTCCATCTAATGACAAGCCGGCGTCGCTGCGTGTCCTGCTCTTTCATGTCCCTGTAATAGGCCTGTCTGCATTGTCTCTATTTGACTTGTGTCTACGCTTTGATCCACTGCCAGATCCCTACTTTTTTACATTTGTTTTTCTTCCCATCACACTTGCTTGACGCGTATATCTTAAACCTCCAATAGTCTGTAGATATACAGCTGCATCCCTGCCGTTAGCGTCGTCTGTCTGCATCTGGCCCACAGAGCAGGCTTTCCCCGTCACATCCCTGCACACACACACACACACACACACACACACACACACACACACACACACACACACACACACACACACACACACACACACACACACACACACACACACACACACACACACACACACACACACACACACACACACACACACACACACACAGCTGAGTGACACAAATGCATCTTCAGGGTGGGTGGATTGGAGCCCATCCCCAGGGAGCTGCACAGTGTAGGGTCATTTGGGTTCCATCAATGTTCCCTCTGTGTGTGTTTGTGTGTATTGTCCCAAACACCCACAGTGTGTTAATAGCGCTCCCCTGGGGACATCTACAGTGCTCCATGATGTGATTCACACTGACTGGGGATGACCTTGAGAACTAGGACACACACACACACACACACACACACACACACACACACACACACACACACACACACACACACACACACACTCTCTTCAATTTCAGAACACATTTTACCGTTACTGTTGCTACTCTTTCTCAGTACTTGTTGCATGTTTTTTGACTTCTCTTCTCTTGCTCCGCTCCTTTAGGTCAATGTGACAGTTGATTACATCAGAGCAGCTACCGGCCCAGGAGAAAGCACCCCCGCATTCTCAGAACGCACCTGTGCTACAGTCACTATTGGCGGCATGTAAGTACCACACTGAATAATCATCTTTCATTAAGTGTAGTCTATTCAGGATATTTCTCTATTTGCTAATTGTATTTAAAAAAAAAAAAAGATAAAATATACTTTACTGATCCGAATTTGTGACATTTTCTCGTCACAGCAGCAGGTAACAAGGCATTGCACACAATGTGAAAAGTACAAAAAAAAAGACATAAATAGAAACATCTCAAAATAGAAAAATAAAACAGAACTTCAAAGTAAATATAAACATATTGACCAAATGAAGGGCCAGTTACAGCCAACAGAATATAAAAGTAGGACATTATTAACATTGATTGTGCAAGAAATGGCATATTAAATCAAAATCAATGTACAAGGTATAGTGTAAAGACATTTTACACAGATGGACATCTTATGGTAATGATTTAGAAGAGCTCACTCTTCATGTAAATCTTTATATTTTCTATTAACGGTACACGCATGCACTATTTTTTTGTACAATTGAACTTCCTTGTTTATTTTCTTTAGTATATTGTGTGTTGCACTGTTAGAGGAGCCTCGGACATTTTCGTGGCAATCACCTCCACTGTGGCTATTTGATAATAAAGCCTTAGAATCCTTTTGAATCTTAAAAGCACAACATATAGGATTTCCCTTAAAACAATGTAAAGATAATAACAAAACGTACCCCTCCAGGTCCCCAATCTTAAGCACCCATGCTAGAGGAAATAGCATTATGAGACTGCTACCAACAAATCCTACATATTGTGCTTTTAAAACTTGAATTAAGGTTATGTTACCTATAAGCTGCACTTACACGGATATCATACAGCATCTAATTGTCAGCGTAGGGGGCTTCACTAGTACATTTATTTTAATTACAACAGCTGTGTCCCTTTTTGTAAAACCTAATTCTTCAGATGTAAAACAACATAAAACAGACAAAATTGTAAAGGCTCAGAACTTGTAATCTCAGCATGAATCACAAAGTAAGCTGAAAAGGCTTCTTTGCGTTTCCATTTTCACAGGAAGTGTCACCTCAGTGCAAGCAATTATTTTCTATCTACAAACAACCCTTTGAGGGAATCTGGTTTATCTGTCAGAAACACGGACTTTCCACAGTACCACTGATCTTCTGTTATTCAAATTACTCAGAGGTTTCAATTGAAACAAAACCGGATGGAGGAGCTTTAATGCCGCGTGACTTGAAATAAACCATCAGAAGTCCGTTCTCGCCCCAAACGGTAGTTAAAGGCCACACTTATCTTCTGCGTTCGTCTGTCTTTCTGGCTCTATGGCACAAAGCAGAGTTATATGCACATGATACAAATGGATCCCTGTTGGTCATCAACAGTCATGTATCTGCATGCATACACAAAGGTCAGGACCCGACCTCGTGACCAGTCAGTTCCTCCCCAGCATTAGCCAGCTGCACGGCCACTCCGCTCCACAGTGAACAGTTGGCATGCCCCCCCCCCATGAAGGCTGAGGTCAGGGGGGCAAATGCTTTCAACCTTTTACATCATATAGTGTATTAAATATATAATTTCTCTGCTTGTGGTAAGAGAGTTAGTTCTTGGCAGCGCATCGATGAGAAGAAACGGGCTCTGCTTGAGATTCATTAAGCAGTGTGAAGTCATAAAGGTTAACCAACCAGAAGAAGACAGGAAGTAGGGGTGAGCCATATCACCCTTAAATCATTTCACCACATTTGTGATTATTCTTGCAATCACAACTCGATTTACAATATGCCAAAATTACTGAGTTTTTAAAATAATGAATTATTAATTATTGAAGGACTCACACAATTTCATTAGAATAAGTCTCGAACATCTGATATACTTTATTGATCCCAATTTGGGATTCTTTTTTTTATAGTTTTTTGTGTCCACATTACAGAAACAGTATGCCTCAAATATTCTGCAAAAGCTAAACCAAATCTATCTCTGTTTTTAATAACTGTTTCTGTAAGTGCACATTGAATTTTCTTTTAACCTCCATAATATTTATATATTTACTATTATTTTGTTAGCTTTGTTTTAAATGATTGAATAATAACTGTATTATATGCTGGAATACCCCAAACAGGAAGTCCTCCCTGTATCCCAATGATTCAAAATGTCCTTTTCTCATTTATTTCCGATCTCTCTTTTAAACAACAAATCCAATTGAGTGTGAAGTGTTGATATAGGAAAAGGGTCAGAGAAAACATTTGATTAGAGACAATAAAGTCTATAACATCATCATGCCTGCAAAGTGGAGACAGAAAGATGCACTCAATGACACAAACTCACTTTTTAAGAGTTTACTTCATTTCTTTTGTCCGCACATCAACCAGAACATCGATGTCCACGGGCTAGCCACTAAGTGCTGCACTAAGTACAACAATACTCTCCTCTTTCTGCCCTTCATCCTTTCTTCTTCAGTACATCCATAACGCGGCGAAGAAACGGTTAGTCAAGTGTGCAATGTCAACATTTAAGTGACCTTTGTTCATTTGCTAAGCCACCGTTGGGATTCGTCATGGTTTTTCTTCCCCCCGTTGAGCTGGCTTACTTAGGATTCAGTGTGAAGCCGAGCCGTTTTGCTTGTTGGTTTTTATTAAAGTAATCTCTCTCTCTCCCCCCCCACCCCTCTTCCTACAGTAACATAGCCGAGGCTCTGGTCAGTAAAGGCCTGGCCACATGCATCAGATACAGGCAGGATGACGACCAGCGCTCCTCCCACTACGACGAGCTGCTTGCCGCAGAGGCTCGGGGAGAAACACACACACACACACACACACACACACACACACACACACACACACACACACACACACACACACACACACACACACACACACACACACTCACTCGTACACACACTCACTCTACACACTCACTCGTACACACACTCACTCGTACACACTCGTTAACTCCTTCCATCTCCCTTTCACCTGAGCCTTAAAGACAACATTTTGCACACTAATCTCTTACTCAAAACATTTTTACACAATCACTCTGCCATCCACGATTTCTACATGACCTTGAAAAATGTTGCTCTTTGGAAGAGGAAATGAATTGTTATGACCTTGAGGCTTTTTTTTTCTTCTTCCAAATTACTTTTGCTATTTCATCCAACATAGCTCAGGAGAAGCAACTCTAAATAATAATTATTACTATATAAATATCATTACAGGCACCATCATAGGTCACAGCTCATCACAGATCCACAGGAAAGATGTTATTGCTCTCACACATGCACACATCTTTCCCCCTTTTATCATTATTTGATACATATAAACATACATGCCTATACATGCAGCTTCCCAAGCGCCCTATCAGAGGCTCCCTTTACACAGGCCCTATGAATATAAGGATATGGAGGTGCAGTGGAGAGATTTAGTACAGGCTTTATTGCTCTGCTATAGATTAAGATCTGCTGGCTATAGGTAGAGCAGATGCAGCCTCAGCCTCCTTTTATTGGACTCTCCCCCCCCCCTTCCTCCCATGCAGTGTCACTGCCCAGCCGCCCTCCTTTCTCTACTCTCACCTCATCTTTTTTGTTGCACATTTTGTCCTTATTTCTCCTCCTTTTTCAATGTTGTCCTTCTTTGGCCTTGCTCGCCTTCTGTGTCCCTCCCACTTCTCTATCTCTCTTCCTCCCCCCCTTCTCTGTCCCTGGCGAGGTGTTCTTAGAGTTGATGAGAGGTTTCTGTCTATAGCCTCCATTTGTATTTTTAGTTCCCGTTGCACGAGGTCAACGACCTGCAGTCTTCAAGAAACCTCCTCCAGGCTATTAAACGCTTACATACACACTCTGCATAAATGCACACGCTCCATCATAGAGTCAATGACCTGCTTCCCAGTGACCCATAGGTGGCATTATCCCACCCCTCAACCACAGTGGTCATCTTCATCTCAGCTGGCCCTTGAGGCTTTTTAAAGCGCCGGTCACTAGCACCAGTGACCATCGCTAAAGCCCTCGCCGGCACTATACAAGCAACCCATTTCTCCCCATCCTTCCATTCTAACAATAATTTCTTCTTCATCATAATTTCTTCTCCACCATTTCCACTTTCATCTCACGCTCATAGATTATCTGGGCGGGGAAAAAACCCTCCCCCTAGCACTTCCCGTAAAGCCATAATGGCATTTTCAGCAGTAGGGGAAAAAAATGGTTTGAATTGACTTCTTCACAAAGCCACAATGGCTCCCTCTTTGTATCTACTGTGATTACTCAAAGAGCTCCCATTCCTCAAGGTCTGCTTGGCCTGCAGCATTATGCTTTCCCCTTGTATTATGATGATGTTTGAGCTATGTTTGTGGTTTGTAGGGCCATCAAGAACGGGAAAGGGCTGCACAGCAAGAAGGAGGCTCCCATCCACAGAGTGGCTGATATCTCTGGGGTAAGTGTCTCATTTGGTTATGTATGCACAGGTTTTCTTACACAAGAGAATAAAAGCTTATCCAGGATCAGAATCCTGAAAAAAATGTATTGCAAGGTGCGTTTACACATACAAGGAATTTGCTTTGGTGTATGATGGTGCAAACATAAGAAAATACATTGTAAGAGAAGGTTACAAATATAACAATTACATATTTTTTAGCATTACAAAAGAATAAAGACAAGTATTTACATCAAATTTTAATATACAAAAGAAAGGTAAAAAAATGAATATATGACAAACTATTTTATTTTATTTAAAGTAGAGGGCTGTGCAGAGATGTGCAACATTTATTCAGGGAGATGAACATGGCTCACCGTATTTAAAAAGAAAAGGACAATATGTTGTTAACATGATGTGCATTATGATGTGCATTATGATGTGTTACATGATGTGTAACTGAACGAGCATCTCTCAAAATGCACTTTTTTTTTAAACCATGGACTCATTTACACACTCAACTCCCATGACACTCAAAGATCATCGATGCCCAAAAGCTACCGCCATGTTCCGCCACATGCAGTAACTCTCAGGAGACGATCCATAATCCTCGGCTCGCCACCCCTTCCCCGATCCTCACAGCCGGTTTCCTCATCTTACAGAAACTAAGCGGCCTCTAAAAATAATCAGCGCCATTAATAAAACCATCAGCGGTGCTCGGTCCTAGCTTGTTTACGTGTGCTCAGGGGCTTGATGGAGGCATCATTTGGCTAATGAAGCCTGATTGGGAGTGCTCACAAAATGAACATTAGCGCGGGGAACCAATAAAATCTCTCAGTAACAAGTAATGGCCGATTGGTACGCATTGTTTCGAAGCGTGTGTTTGTTCTCACAACCATGATCCCCTTTGTGTTTTCTCTTCATCTCACGCTCGCCATCTTCTTCAATCTTTAAAAGTCGGGCATGTTTGCGTTAAATTATTAATTGCAAAGACATTCCTGACAACAGTTAATTTTTGAAAGGAAACATTTCCTTTTTCTCTCTTCATTTTCACAAGAGATTTCGTCCTACATGGCTACAGGCTGTCCCAGTACACTTCTATACCCTAGTGCAGTCTTCATGAAGTCGCTATAGGCTGCATTGTTGTAGCTGTCTAACATTGTCAAACTGAGTGGTTGGCTGAGATGAGCTCACATGGAGGGCAAGGCAGTGTAAATGTGCTGATGGCGCACGCACACGCGCAAAACTAACGGCCATCAATGCTAGCTAGGTAACAAACAATTCTTAGTTTTAACAATACATTTCCTCACCAAGTGGCTTTCTGCTGCTTTCAGTATACTGCCAGAATACAACAAATTCCTTGTTGAATAATTTTTTTTAATTTTTTTTTTTAAAGGAAATGATTTACAACACCCTTTTATTGAATAAATGTTTGAACTTAGCAAGCCTAAACTCTGTCACAACATTCAAAAAAGCCCTCAAAATGGAACACATTTTTTTAAATGTCTATTGATTGAAAAGAGATCACCAATATTGCAATTCAAATCTCTATTGTGACAATATGACATTGCAATGATATAAAACAACAAAAGTAACGCAAAGGCTTTGACATTATTTCATTTCAAACCTTTTTAAGAGCCTTTTATACATCTCTCTACTTCCACCAGCCACCTCCTTAAACATTTTCATAAGCCACTACATGATCTACAGTGAATGACTCAAAATTGAACTTGAGAAACATTAGCATCTCATTGTCTCTCCCACAGGAGCTCTCTTGTAGTACTTAGACTCGTAGGCTCTAGAGAGATATTTGGTTAAATTAATCAAGCCCTCTTTTTCTGTATCAAATTGTAGCTCCACCAGATTTGCCGGTCATGCACAAGCCCTGCAGGTTGCTGTTGAAAGTGTCATCAGCCCACGTTGGAACAGAGGCATTCAGCCAAGTTATTAAAGCTCTTTAGCACCAACAGGACTTTAGTGTCCTGCTAATAACACCGACACGGCTCTGCATTACCGCTCTCAGATGTTCTGCTGTTCCACATTGTCATCATCGTAATCTCCCTGCGCGTTATTGTGTCAGCAGGACAGATAAATTCCCGGACCTTGTAAAAAAATAATTATGACAGGGAATTGTTGTGCTGACTGAGCAGCCCTGTGCTTTTTCTTCAGGGGTTTATAAGTGCATTTTACACTTATAAACCCCTACAACTTAACTGACCACTTTCAATGTGCAGCAATGAATATATGCAGGGCGAGGGAGGTGCTCAATAATTAACTTTACAATAAGAAAAAGCAATATCTACAACGCCAGACATCTCACTCATTAAAAACTGTCTTAGTATTCCTAAGAACTATCTCAAGATTTCAGCACCAGACTATAGAGAATGGCTGAACGCTAACATGTATAGGTTCAGCCATTCACTGTTCTCTAAGGAAATAAATGTTTAACTGTCTGTAATCAGATAGATAGATGTATAAATAACTAATTCATCCCAAATTATTCTGTCATAACAGCAGCATTACACAAGTTAAACATATTTAAAGGATAAGATACAATTGTAATTTTAAATTTGTTCTTCTACCTTGTCCTTCTACTCCACTACAATTCAAGGGTAAATATTGTACTTTTACTCCACTACATTTATTTAATACCTTTAGTGACTTTGCAGATTTGGATTCATAATGTGAAATAAACAACACTTAAATAAGACTTTAGTTACACTTGGAGTAATAATAATACAATTAGTACTTTTACTCAAGTACGCAATCTGAGTACTTCTCACATCTTTGGCGGCAAGTATAAACAGTACAAATTAAAATCAAAACTGTCCCAGTAACCGAGCACACACTTTACATTTTAGCATGATTTTGCTGCGTCATGCATTTCTAACAGTGTGTGTGCGTGCCCATCTAAACCCTCCCCTTATTGTGCCAGCCCCATCAGTGGTGTAGGTCAGTGCCATTATGAGCAGCTCCTCCTCTCTCCAAGTATTCCCAATAGGACACACAGGTGTGTGTGTGTGTGTGTGTGTGTGTGTGTGTGTGTGTGTGTGTGTGTGTGTGTGTGTGTGTGTGTGTGTGTGTGTGTGTGTGTGTGTGTGTGTGTGTGTGTGTGTGTGTGTGTGTGTGTGTGTGTGTGTGTGTGTGTGTGTGTGTGTATATTGCCCCCCTTCCTTTCCCTCTTTCGTTTCCCTTTTCTTTTCCCTTTCTCCTCTGTGCTACACGCCCACACACAACTGTACACGTGCAGCCCCCCCCCCTAAAAGAAATACACACTACCATACGTCAGCATCCTTCAGCTAGGTTTGCTGAAAGGGATTATGTACATTGAGTGGGATGCAGTCACAAATAGCGCAGAGATAGGTTTATAAACGTACGGTGTAGGAGATGAACAGAGGTGGTGGGAGGAGAGTGGATAAAGCACTTGACTCACCTCGTACCTCTAAAGGTTACATAATGAGGTCCTCTCTCATGTCTCTTCCTTTCTTTTTTTTCTTAAACCAAGTTAGACTGCACGGCCCACTCACTGCAGGTGCTGTGAATGTGTTTGTGTGAATGTTTGCTTCTGTTGTCTCCCACTCGAGAGGCTATTTCGGACCGCAGTGGGTGGAGTTCAGGTGGCGCTTCTTATGGCTAAAGCACGTACCCTTTTGCTCACAATGTGTTGTAGTCCCACCGGTGACTCGGGATGCATCTGTCTCTCCTGCTGTTGCCGTTTTGTGTCGTCTACTAACACTAAAAAAAAAAGAAAACTCCCAAAAATGTCCTATCAATGATTTCTTAAAACGTAGAAACCTTATTTTGTTGGATCTGACTTTCCTAGTTTGAACTTCACTCCGATCAGTGCCACACGCAGACGCGCACGCACACACGCACACACACTCTTCCCTGGTCCACGACTCATTGTTGTCCCTAAATGCTCACATATTCATTTATTCTATATCGAGACCGAATCTGCCACTGCACCACCAGCTCTGCCTTGAGCATAATTTAGCTCTGCTTGTAATTTTGGCACGGGCACAACACAACAACCTAGTGACTCACTGTTGCAGACAGAGACGGAGGCAGGAGGGGACAGAATTTATTTTTGATTGCACAAATTAGCAGACGTGTCACAGAGGAGCGGACTTCATTAGGCCAGAGTGAGATTTAAAGATTCCTGATAAAAGCCCGCAGATTAACATATTAAGTTTGACTTTTTTTTTGTGTCTCTATTTCATTAATTTGTTTTCAGTCGGTGCTGTATACGTGTCACACATTTGGTATCAAATAATTATGTTTGTTTTTGTGTTCAATAACTTGAAAAACTAAATTTGATATCCACGTTGTTTTTCTTTTGAATGCATCTGATATGAAATATTGTTCACAACAGTGTTTCCGCCAGGGGGGCCTCTCGTCGTCATTTGACGGCCTTAGTCAACTGGGAACTCGAGCCGAGGGCGTCCAAAAAAAAAATCGCAACGGAAAAGAGCAAGGACATCCCTCTGTTGGAGGGGCAAAGGAGCCTGCTGGGATTCTTTTCGGAGTATTGAAGATCGTTTCCCAGACATCGGCCTCTTTTCAGCTTTTCGTATCTTGGACAACATGGTGCCTGCCACAGGACAACACGGAACGTGCGCGATTCTGACGCGATGAGCGGTGGAGCACGCGCGTNTTGGATAATAACACGGGAGAAATGAGCAGAAGCACTCTTTTCCTCTCTCTCTCTCTCTCTCCCTCTCTCCCTCTCCTGACAGCCTGTCAGTATCTCATGCAGCTCACTGATCCAGTAATGAGTGACCCGACAGTGAAGAATAAACATGTATAACTAGTTTAGCTTGTTCCAGAGGTAGATAAAATAGCTAAGTGAGTTAGGTTTAACTCTTGGTGTGTGTTCTGCTCCGCTCACCGGTCCGTCACAGCGGGTGGAGCTGCAGGATTTCTGCTTCACACGCGTTGCATACCGCTATTTTCTTGTCATTTTCGGACAACTTAAAAAACTGCCAGACTGGTGAAGCCATTATGGCGAGCTTGTTTTGCCGCGCACAGAGAAAAGTGTCATGTATTTTACGTCATGTGATCGGCTCTCCTGATCGGCCTTTACAGAGAGCAGCGATCGATCGGCAGAGGGTGAATATCGGCCGATAACGATCGACGGCCGATCGATCGGAGCATCCCTAATTTAAATACCACGTCCTTATTTACTAGAGAGCGACAAAGCTTATAAAAGGGTCTTTCTTTAGGCATTATCTAACCTCTTTCTTTTTGTCCATCAGGATACACAGAAAGCCAAGCAGTTCCTGCCCTTCCTGCAGAGGGCCGGCCGCTCAGAAGCTGTGGTAGAGTACGTGTTCAGCGGCTCCCGCCTCAAGCTGTACATGCCCAAAGAAACCTGCCTCATCACCTTCCTCCTTGCCGGTGGGTAGAGCTTTTTCTTTGTCCGGTGTGAAGGTCACTTCCTTCTAACCCGCTCAATCTGTGCGTACAGGCATTGGTTGCTGTTATGTGAAGGTTCTTTGACATATCATTTAGTAAGAAAGTGTTTGTGTGGTGCAAAAATCCTCCACACTCTGACTTCTGCCGGATCAGAGCTCAGGCTTTCCTATCACCTCTCAGCAGGCAGGGCTAACGGGCCAAACGGTGTAGCTGGGTATGATCAGTGTTGGGGTAGTTACTAATGCATTACACATTATAGTTACTTTAAGTGTTGCCTTACTTTCCTTAATTATTCACTGCTGTAAATAACTAGTTACACTACTAGTTACATTACTTTTGGACTACTCTGTAACATCGCCAGAGATGCACCATAAATCAAATGACAAATAACAACATGAAGTTAAACCTCATTTATGCCAGATCAGCGCAAATGCTTAATTTAAAAAGGACAATACTGAACACAGACCTCTGTTTCTGCTCTTTGTTTGATCATCAGTTTTATTTTGCTCCGTTTCCATAACATTGGTCCAGGTAGCTGGCAAATGTTTTCCTGTCTGATGGCGGCAGCCCCCCCCGTTACCTTTATCTTGCTCAATATGATTGGGAAAGATGGTGATTCCACAGTCAAAACGGGCAACATCTCCTCCACGATGTACGCTGCGACAAGCCTGTTTATCTCTGCTGTGAGAGTCTGTCTCCTCATCCATGAACTCACGAGTCTAGCGCAATCTTAAAGGGACGTTTGATTGACTTTTTCTGTACTTTGCTCTGTGTAAAGTACTGCAAAAAACGAGATCATTTCATGCTTAGTAACTGTAATGTGCCAACTGCTGTTATCACCAGTAATGGGTTACTTTTCTGTGTTACAGACAAATGTGTTTTGATTACAGTAGCTCGTTCAACTCTCAGCAGGCAGGACTTGCTGGTCAAAGGCGAAAGCTGATGCACAGACCTCAGACACCCTCTTTAAATAAACTCCAGGGCCTACGTGACTCCTTTGACCTCACCTTCCCTTCTCCGGCTCTCTGCCAGGTTAAAAAAGACTCATGCTCTGCTGTCCACGTCTTTTCTCTTTTACCGTAGTGGTCATCTTCATTAGGAGCTGGCCTCCGTGTCTAGGTAAAGAGCGATTTAAACTCCAGACGATGGGCAGCTACTATCAGATCAAATGCTGTTTCAGCTTGGGAAAAACAAGTAGTATTTTTGTATTGTTCCATCCCTATCTTAGGGAAAGTGTCCCTGTCTCAGGTGAAAGTTAATGTGTACCGCTTGGCATCGTTCAACAGTTTATCATTCTTAACTGTGTTTGTCTTTGCTAGTCTCCTACCTGATGAGCACATTATGACTCGTAAAGAAAATGAGCTGCTACCATCAGTTGATTAATCGTTCAGTCAGTTCAATACATCACAATGGGTTATTAGACATTATAATAAGCATTTACCGCCATTTTGTGACTAGACAAATCGATTATCTTTGAAATAATTAGCTGATTAACAGATAACATCAAAGAACAGGCGTCTTCTTTTAGCATTACTCTTGTAGCATGAGACAATAACAGTAGCTGAGGGGTAAGATGCAGATGGGATGAAATACACACAGTTTGATAGCAGGTCTAGTCATTTATTCTTCGCTCCTCGACCGCTTTGACAGTTTGCACTAGCAATAAAAACACTGAGACTGTATCTTTGGCAGCCAACAATGATTTGCACATCCTTTCAGATCATGGCAATGGTGAGAATGCTTATCCCCTTCCACAACGGATGACACCCTTTGTTATAGTCGCCATAAAACCTGTTTCAATCCATCTCCATTTCAGCCCGAGCCATACTGTTCCTCTCCATTTCCAGCAGGACAAACACCAGACATTCCACACAAACACTCAGTTTAATTATGCGTGGCTGAATTGTCCATGCATTCATTAATTTTCGTATTTGCTTCCGATTGTCTTTGCCGTCCGCTGATGGTTTTTGCGTGATTGCATCCCTTTTGTTTACTTCCTGCTACAAGATTGTATTGACATGAGCCGAGACTGCGATATGGGACCATGCAATATTTTTCAAATGCTTGGTTGAAATGTCAGGTGTGCGTGTGAGCTGGTGTTTACTTTTGGAAGGATTTTATTTAATCAAAGGTTATTAGAAAATGATAAGAAGCACATTAGAGCTGATGGCTTCGGAGCGTATTTGATTAAAGTCGTCCCCCAGAAGAAAAGATTCATCTGCTGAAAATGAGAAGACATATCTCGTCTTTTAATAAACACATTAGGCTGGATTAGCGCTGATTGATACACCTTATCCTTTATGTGTTCTGTATGTTTAACCTCTATTCCCATTAGAGTCCTTTATATCACAGGAAGCTCCCTATAGGTGTGTACTGTAGGTGCTTTTATGTCGCCTCATTATCATTCTTCTTTCAGATATGGGATGTTTACGAGATAAAATATTATATCTGGCGGGTCATAGCCTCTCTGTTCCGATGCATGTATGTTGCACGGTTTTCTTTATCTAATGTAAAGCCTTCCTGTAGGCACAACATCGCCTTATTATTTCCAGCACCTCTAATCTCCAAGCGCTTCCTATCTCCTTTCACTTCCTCTTTCCTGTCAAAGTTATCTTTTTTCGTGTTTTATTCACCTATCTGCTCCGAGAGCTGTGTTTGAAATGACACGTACATGATAAGTCGGCTGCTTCAAGCCTCTCTGTATATCTGTGTATGAAACGGCAGAAGCCCCTTTGACCTTTTCCCTTCAAACCCTCTCGTAGCTTTGACGGATAATGAGGTGTGTTGAGAGCAGATCCGGTTATACATCTTTCAGATTTGCTCAATATTTTAAAAGTCAATCGGCCAATCTTTATAGAAGCGGCATTTCTTTATCATGTTTGGATATAGTTAAATATTTGTAATTGAATACCAAATGTTGAAATCCTTGTAAATGTTGAATGGATAATGCAAACTCAAATCTATAATGCATTGTAAGTCCTCATATTGTTTTATAACCAGAGTCTATGACTTTAATATTTTAGATCAAATATCACAGTAAGTTATGATTGCACCATTCATTTTGTAACAAAGTTCATAAGCTGAGCCCCGTGCTTGATAATTGTACATTTCTCTCAGTAAACATTGACTACAGTCAAATGGAGAATATATTCAAACGGTGTCAAAACAAGTCCTGCCTTACTAACGGTTTCATTAGCCTCGGTGTCTTTATACTGTATTCATCACAGCCACATTTTTTATTCTTTAACAATGTCGTGGGAGGCCACTGAAGAACAAACTGTTTACAGTAGAGCTGCGAATGAAAGGCATTAAAAAGATGTAACGCAGCAAGTCAAAATCATAATACTAAACACGCACCACATGCATCTTTGAATCTCATCCACCTGCCTGTTTAGCCAGCGGCGTCTTTTCTCCTGCTTTCAAACATATTATTTGTCCTGATTTTGATACGGAACTATTCATTGCTTTTCTTCCCCAGTGAGGAACCTCAAAGCCTCCCCTTCCTGCTCCTGACTTTTTACTTGATGGATAAAGACATTGGTTATGAAACAAAAAGAGGGGTGAGGAAACAAAGGGTAGCATGAGAAGCCTTTGCTTCAAAGCGGGCCGGAGGTATTCTCCAGGACTTGAAGGGAAGTTCCCTTTCCTCTCCTCCCACATCACCTCACCTTTCTTCTCCTCGCTCGCTGGCACGCGCGGTGGCACTTCCGTATGCAAGTTTGATAAAGGGTAAGGGAGTCATCCTGCTTCCTTGGAGCAAAGGGATTTAAGAATGACGCGAAAGGGGGGCTAGAAGACTGATAAAAGGAGGAGGAGGTTTAGCAAGAGCTGTGCAGGCAGACAGGACAGGGTAAAAGGGAAGACAAAAAAAGTCCAATCGATGTGGACATAAAGGCCCGTTGAAGCAGTGAAAAGTCCATAAAAGTTTACTAGCTTCAACAGAGTTTCCAATGGAGGCCACAGCAGGTGGAGCGTACTTTTACATTTGCTCACAGAGCTGTGTTGAGCAGCAGTCTGTCGAAAAGATGAAACACCCATCGCTCGGACACAAAGATTTACAGTATCAGCAAGAAGCCTTAGCCCCCTCGGTGTGTGTCTTGGTGCTGTTTGTCAGATTTTCTGTGATATGTGTGTGCGGCAAGTACACCTCCTGCAGTGAGTGACTGCTGGAGATGCTTGAGAGGTTGCGCAGGACATTTTTAGACTTGTTCCCTGAAAATATGTCGGTGCAAGAAAAAGTTTAGCATAGTAGCAAGTGAGTCAGGAAAAGCCTGGAAATAAAATGTTATTGTGCTCCGCAATGACCCGTGTCCTTGAGTGTGACGGCGGCTCTGCATCTCATTGAGATTCACAGTTATTAAACACACTGAGGTCTTTGTTTTTTCGCCTTCAGACACATTTTATGTCCTGCCAGATAATAAAGTTGCTGGTGAAGAGGGAAATAACTTGTTTTAATTAAACTTAATTGGCATTTTTACCTCCATCATAAGCTAATCTTATAAATTATCCACCAGAGCTAATGCGCACGTTTAACCTACAACTAACTTTAATAAATAGCAAATCGAGTTTGATGTGCATAATGAATAATTAAATGTGAATTTCATTAAAGAAGCTTCTGTCTAGTGAAGGTGACATCTGATAGGTGCTCCAGTGTAATGGACAAACCTTTCACAGGCCTTATCATCATAAATGTCTTATTTTGTGAGTGCGTAACCTAAATATATTAATTTTATTATGATATAAGACAGAAATAATTATAAATCTTCATATTTGAGAGGCTATGTGTTGCCCTTCCTCCATAAAAATAAGTTATAAGATTAATTGAATATCATTATAGTCGGCCATTAGTTCTCCGTAGTTTGACTTATGGATGCAGCTCTAATTTGCTATGCTTCCATCTAGTGAAGGTGACATCTGATATGTGCTTTAGTTATAGGCAATCCTGTCCCAGGTCTTGTTTAAGGACACACCTCATTATTTGG